CCTAGAAAGGCTGGCACCGATGCCCTCAGCCGAGGGATGGCCTGGCGCAGCGGCCGCAGAGGCCCCGAGCACGGCTTCCCCCCAGGAGCGGGTTTATTTGTTCAAGCGCCTGGCCCGGCCATCCCGTGGGGCAGGGCATGTGTTTCTGGCTCTTTCCTTCCAGACCCAGAGCTCGGCGGGCTGGGTGTGCACAGACCCTCTCCCTCTTCTCTCCGTGGGCAGGAAATGTGAGAAAACAGCCCCTAGGTCTGTCCCCTGAGCCCGCACCTCTGGCCTCTGAGCGTTTGCTTAACCACAGCGCCGGCTCTGCAATGTCTGGAACGGACCCCGGGCAGCTCTGTGGGATCGGAGGAGGCCTGAGCGGAGGTCAAGTGGCCAGGCCCCAGTGGTACCACTGACCAGCTGTGGGGTCCTGGGGCAGCCACCACCTGCATCATTTGGTTCCTCTAGGAAGTGGAACCGAAAATATTCCCTGCCTCCCAGAGAGAGCGCAGGACAAAGAAAGATGGCCAGCATGTACTTACTGTGCACTAGACACTGCTCTCTGTGCCTTGAGAATTATTCCATTTCATTCTCACAACAAGACTATGAAGCAAGATTGTTTCCCATTAATGGATGGAGAAACTGAGGCACCAAGCGGCTCCATGACTTGCCCCAGGCCGCATGGCAAGGAAGGGTGAGGAGTCACACTCATACACGCCAGACACCCTCCCACCTCGGGCCTTTGCACTTGTCTTCCTTCCTGACTGTCCACAGCGGGCCCGTCTCACCCTCGCAGCTCAGGTGAGGGTTCCCCTGCCGCTCTGGCTAACCGTGCCCTCGAGCCCAACCATCACTCCATCTTATTCTCTTCATAGCACTCGTCACTACTGGAATTTAACTGGTGGATTTAGTGGCAGTGCCCTGGAATCAGGTAACTTGCCAATTTTGTTCATTCCTGATTCCATAGCGCCTAGGAAAGCGCCTAGCACGTAGTAGGTACTCAAGAAATAACTCCTGGCAGAATACATGAATGAAACTCAGGGTGGGGATTACTTTGAGGAAACGTATTTATTATTATGACATGTATGGGATGTTTGAAAGAACTTTGTGTTGGTGGGTTTATTTTTTTTATTGTATTTTATTCCACATTCAATGAAATTCACCCTTTTAACATATAGTTCTATGAGGTGTTTTTTGTTTTGTTTTGTTTTTAATCCTTACCTGAGGATATTTTTCCATTGATTTTTAGAGAGAGTGGAAGAGAGAGGGGAAGACAGAGAGAAATATCGCTTGGTTGCCTCTTACACACGCACCCCGACCAGGGCCCAGGCCAGGGAGAAGCCTGCAACCAAGGTACGTGCCCTTGACCGGAATCAAACCCGGGACCCTTTGCTCCACAGGTCAACGCTCTATCTACTGAGCCAAACCGGCCAGGGCTGTTCTATGAGTTTTGACAAATGTGTACAGTCCTGTAACAACACCACAGTCATGATACAGACATCGCAAACTCCAAAAAGTTCTTATCACCCTTTGTGGTCAGTCCTTGCCCCCAGGCCTGAGCCCCTGGCAACCACAGATTCTGACTTTTCCAGAAAGTCATATAAATAAACCAGACAGCGCGTAGCCTCTGAGTACTCAGGCTTTGTTCACGCGGCAAAATACATCGGAGAGTCACTCAGGTTCCTGCGAGGCTCCCTTTACGTTGCTAAGCAGGGCCCATTGGATGGATGGACCCAGGTTGTTCACCTGTTCGCCCGTTGAAGTCTTCTTGATTTGAATACTGCGGAGGAAAAGGTGTGAGAAGATTCCTTGGCTCCCAACATCAACCACAGACACTCATCCGTTCTCTTTCCGAAATCCCGCTCTTCTTCCCCAGCCCCTGCCTGTCAAGGCTCCTTCCCTTTCTTCCAAGGCCCTTTTCAAGTGGCCTCTCCTCAGTGAGGAGCAGGGTTTCCTGTCCCCATGTCCCAGGGTGGAGAGTGAGCTCAGAGCAGCAGAGGCCCACCGCCGGAGGGAGCAGAGCCAGAGCTCAAACCCAGGGCCAGCGGGGAAGCGAGTAGCCCGAGGGCCAAAGATCAGCTTCTTTGCAGGCTGGAGGGATGCTGGGAGTCCAGGCCCTCTTTCCCCATCTTAGCCCTAAAAATGTGCCAGCATGAGGGTGAGAGAGCAGGGGTAGGTCTGATGGTGGGGTGGGAGGGAGCTGTGGCCGATCCCATCACCTGCGGGTACCTTCATTGGGATCCCTCCCCCACTCTTTCAGCCGGCTCCTGAGCCCTGGTATAAACCCAACCCCCACCACCCAGGCCGACATCAGTCACCAGACTCTCACCTTGGCCATACTGGGCCCATCTGGCCTGCATTACCCATCCCAGAACTCACAATGGTGGGTGGGTGGGTGTGGCAAATGAGATAATGAGCCCCAGCTGTGGGTAGGCTTTGTCCCACTCAGCCACTTGCAGCCAAAGGACCAGTGAGAGACCAATGAGGGAGTTCCTGTCACTCAAGATGACCCTCAGCTACCCTGAGGTCCTCCCCAGCTCTGTAGCCCAGAGGACGCCCCTGAGCAAGGAGCCTTGGAACCTAGCCCACCAAGTAGTGACCTTGGGCAAGTCTTCTGGGCCTCGGTTTGTCCATCTGCAGCGGGAGGCTGGGGGGGATGCCTGCAGAGGCCTTAGGGCAGGAATGAACTTGCTGCTTGAGAGTGTAGGGCAGAAGCTCAGGGCCTAGGAGTCCTGGGGGTGGGGGTGGCGGGGTGCAGGATTCAACAGAATAGGTTATATTTTTTCTTGAGTGTGGAAAATACACAGCTTTTATTGTATTATTCTTTATGCTTTTTTTTTGTATGTGTGGAGTACACCATAATAATGTTGTTAAATTTTTTTAAGGTGAGGGTAAAAATGGAGGTGAGAAAAGGGAGACAATTTGCTCAAGAAGTTATATTATTGAGGGGACCAGAGAAATTGGAGGCATAGTTGAAGGGATCTGGGGGGGTCCAAGATTTTTTTTCTTTACTTTTAATTTTTATTGATTTTTAGAGAGAAACGAAGGGAGAGAGAGAGAAAGAGAGAAACGTTGATCTGATCAGCTGCCTCCTGCACACCCCTTGCCGGGATGGAGAGCCCACAACCAGGGCATGGGCCCAGGGAATTGAACCGGTGACCTTTCGGTGCACAGGGCGACACCCAACCAACTGAGCCACACCAGCCAGGCTTTTCTTCACTTTTCACATGGGAGCTGTTGAAGCATGTGTGTGTCCTGCAGGGGACCATGGGCTGGGGGCTGAGAGTGCAGGAAAAGAAGTGGGTGCCGAGGGGACAGGGGATTGAGAAGCTCAGAAGTGCTTGTCTCCCTGGTGCTCAGCCCACTTGGTGACCTCTGCTCTCAGGATCCTCCCACTTGAGTCTCAGACCCACCCGGAGGGCTGGGGTCACCCCAGAAGTCCTGGTTCAGTAGGTCTGGGGTGAGACCTAGAAATGTGCTTTTCTAACGAGCTCCCTGGGGATGCTGTCTGGGGTGAGACCTAGATATGTGCATTTCTAACAAGCTCCCTGGGGATGCTGTTTCAAGGGCCACACTTTGAGAACCACTGTTTTCATCAATACCAGTGCGCCCAGAGGCACCCTCTTCTGGATTTGACCTTGCACTACAATAGAAGATGCTCCTTCAAAAGCACTCTGGGGAGGGGATGGGAGCAGACAATTGAGATGGCAGAGGGGAGAAGAGATGAAGGAGGAAGCAGCCAGAGCCTGGGCCCCCAGCCAAGGTTACCACCTCTCTCTGGGGAGAACCAGTCTTCCCAGGCGCCCTGGGAGCTGCCCTGTGGGACCTCCGAGAAGACTGAGGGAGAGCGTGAGGAAAGAAGCCGGGAGTGTGTGTGTGGAGGGGGCGGGGGGAGTGGCAAGAGGCCAGCTTGTGTGCAGAATGGAGAGGGGGTGCAGGAGGGGCCCTGGGCCCTGGGACACCGTTCACCTTTGCAACTTGATCCTGTGTCTCTGCCAGCCCAGCTCCTCCTGCTCTTGGGGGAAAGGCAGTCCTGTCAGGAAACGAACATCACCTTGGGGGATCCCAGAACTTTCAAGCTGGGAGAACCCTTGGAGACAGGCCAGCTCAGCCCTGTGTGGCAGATGGAGAGGGCCAGGAAAATAAAAGTCCAGTTTGGCAGATGGACCTGCAAACTCTTATACCAGGAGAGATGTGCCCCACTCTCTGCTGCGGGCTCTCCCCTAGGAAGCTGGGTAATGGGCATGACGGTGGGGGCTGTGCTCTGACCCTGGCTGCTCCCCCTTTTCTATCAATTCATTGAACACTTATTTATTGAGCCCCCAGCAGGCGATAAGCATTCTGCTGACATGGAGAGAAAGTGGTGAGCAGGACCAAATTTCTGGCTTCGTGGAATTGACATTCCAAGGGTAAAGCAGGCAATAGACAGAGAAATATGTACGATAAAGTCAGGGATTGGTCAGTGGTAAGAAGAGACCTGAAACGACATGAGGGAGTGAGCCATGTGATGTGGATGGTGGGTAGAGGCTTCTCCACGCATAGGGAACAGCATGTGCAAAGGCCCTGAGGTAGGCACATGCTTGCTGTGTTGGAGGGATGTCACAGAGGCCAGTGCCTCTGGAGCGAGGGAGGAAGAGAGGACTAAAGAGAAAATCAGGGTGGCGGCGGGAGGCCAGGTCATGCGGCAAGCTGCAGGCATAGCAGACTTTGCCTTTCCCTGTGAGTAAGGAGGGAACCCTGGGAGAGGTTTGAGCGGAGGGAGCATGTGATCTGACTTAGTTGAACAGGATCCCTCTGGCTGCTGAGTGGAGGATGGACTAGGCAGAGAGGGACAAGAGCGGAGGCCGAGAAGCCAGGGAGAGAGCTGCTGGAATCGTCCAGGCGGGAGGTAATGGTGGCCTGGCATGGCAGGGAGGTCTCTGCTGGTTGTTCTATGTCCTTCGTGGAGACATATGAAGGGGCAGGAGCCTTCCCCCCACCGGCCCCTTCCCATGACCCCGCCCACGGTCTCCCCACAGCTGGAAAGGTACATCCAGACGAACTTGAGGTCGCAGCTGGCGCAGGCACGGCAGCACGTGGTCCAGAACCAGACGGCCGCCGTGCTGGAGCTGGGCACCAGCCTCTTGAACCAGACCACCGCCCAGGCCCACCGGCTGACTGACATGGAGGCTCAGGTACCAGCGGGTGAGCGGGTGGCATCAGGGGGCCTGCGGCGGGCCAGGCTGGCTCACAGCCCAGGTCATCTTGCCTTGACCTCTGTTCCTGGGTCATGTCAGGGCCTCCTCTGGGCCTGCATCCTCCTGGGGCCCCTCCTGATGACCCTGTCGCAAAATTGCCTCCCACCAGGCCATGAGTCCTAGGGGGGGACACTGGCTCTGGCTCCTGGGCCTCTGTGACCCTAATGCTCAGGTCTGTGCCAGGCACTGGACTGAAAAGGGGCAGCACACTCCCCTGCCCTCAGGGGGCTCAGTGCTCCGGGAGAGATGGGAATAAACAATTCATTGGACCTCAGGGGGCCACTAACTGAGAGAGGAGACAGCTGTATAAATGGGAGGGTGAGTACGGAAATGGATGAAAAGGTGACTGACAAATGGGCATGGTTTGTTTAAGCCCTACTATGTGCCAGGCACGGCTGGAGGGGCCTGGTACTAGTTTATAGCACTAAATAAAACAGGTATGTGTTCCTACCCTCATGGAGCTTCCTTTCTAAGGAGGTTCATGAACATAAACAGGATAAACAACATATATGTGTGAGGTGGTGATAGTGCTAAGGAGACAATAGCATGGGTGAGAGCGATGGGAGTGTGTGGTGGCAGAGGCGGGAGGGTGAATTGCAGGTTTAGACCGTGAGGCCAGGAAAGCACCACTGAGCAGGTGGGATTGGAGCCTTTACTAGGAATGCAGTCCAGACAGGGAACACAGCATGTGCAAAGGCCCAGAGAGGGGACCAGGCTGACAAGCTCCAGGAACATCAGGAAGGCTAGTGTGACTGGAGTGGAGAGGGAGCAAGTAGGGGGCCAGGGGTCAGAGAGGCGAGAGGGGCAGATGGCATCACAGGCCCCCTCCAGAGGGTGAGAGCTGGGCTTTCTCACTCAGGATGTGGGAGCCGCGGGAAGACTTTGAGCAGAGAATGGACTGTAGGGGACAAGGACAGGAACAGGGAGCCCAGGGAATAAGCTGGCACAGGACACAGGGTGAGAGAGGACGAAGACCAGGCCAGAGTGGGATCCCTGGACAGGGAGGGGCGTGGTCAGTAGCCATGTGGAAGATGGAGCTGATGGGACTCGCTGATGGATGAGATGTGGGGTCAAGCCTGAGCAGGGGGAATGGAGCTGCCATGTGCAGTGATGGGAAGAGCAAACTTAGAATGAAGATCATAAGCTCAGTGAGGGCCTATGAGTGAGTGAATGAGTGAATGAATGAATGAATGAACAACCACGGGAACTAACTACGGGGAGGGTGAAAACAGATCAGCAAGTTTCTGGGATGGCAGAGCCCGTGGGCAGGTGGGCAGCTGCTGGGAAGGCCTCCTGCAGGGCTTACGTGGCCCCCGCCCCCTCCTGCTCGCCGAGGCAGGTGCTGAACCAGACATCCAGAATGGAGATCCAGATGCAGGAGACCTCGCTGTCTACCAACAAGCTGGAGAAACAGCTGTTTCTACAGGGCCTTGAGCTCCACCGGCTACAGGACTACAACAGGTGGGCGCTGCCCCCGGGCCAGGGCTGGGCTGGAGCCAGGGCCAGGGCTGGAAGCTGGATGTGGGCTAGTGCCTGGGACAGGGGCTGGGACAGAGCTAGAGGCCTAGATTGGAACTGGAGTGAGGCATCATTTGGGGGCTAGGGCTGGAGCTAGAGCTGGGGCTAGGCCAGGGCAGTGATAAGGACTAAAATGAGGGTTGGAGACCAGACTGACCTTGGAGGGAAGGTGGACACGGGGCTGGACTGAGGCTGGAGCTGGGGGCCAGGCAGGTACAGGGCCTGGGTGGGGACAGGCATTTTCCTGGAGCTCAGGGCACCCTGACTCTTTCTTCCTCCCTCCTTCCTTCCTTCCTTCTTTGCTTCCTGCCTTTCTTCCTTTCTCCATTGATATATTTTGTAAATGTTTAACAGCTTTATTGAGCTACAATTTATGTACCATACAACTTACCCTGTAAATCTTCATTTGATTTATTTATTTGTATAATAAATAAATAAATAAATCTGATCTCATTCACCAATTTCCCTTCCCAGAAGCAAGCACAGTTAGTTACCAATTTCCTCTCTGCATTTATCAGCAAATACGTATGAGGGAACACCCTTCAAATTACAAAGAAAAAAGAGTCATGGGGTACAGCTGAGGCAGACATCCAAGGCTGATTTCATCTCAGTTTCGAGCTGAGTAGAGAAAAAACTGCCAGGGCCAGGGTGCTGGAGGAGGCAAAACGCACACAGAGGCCGCCACAGGCCTGTGCACAGGGCGAGGTGTTATTGTTGCTCATGTGATGGGTCAAGATAAGGCCGCGAGGACCGCCCAGCCCCCTCTGATCTGGGTGCAGTTAATGATAGTTTGTCACCTTCTTATTCTTACCCTCCCGCCCCCAGGTGGGGCAGGGCAAAGACTGGGATGTTTTCCATCACTCTGAATTGGCACCAGGTGCTTAGAAGTCAGTGCAGATGGATGTCGTCAATTAGCTCTTGGCCCTTGGAGATGGCTAAAAGTCTAGAATCTGAGTGAGCCCAAATTCCCTCTCTTCCTGCAACAGAGGTCCTCAAACTTTTTAAACAGGGGGCCAGTTCCCTGTCCCTTAGACATTCCACACATGCGCACTGCGGGGCCCGGGACAAGTCGGCTGCTAAGCAGGACAGGCAGCGGCGGCAAAAACACCCAGCGGGCCGGATAAATGTTTTCGGCGGGCCGCATGTGGCCCGCGGGCCGTAGTTTGAGGACCCCTGTCCTGCAACATAATTAGGGACCCAGGGGAAATTCCCTCTGCCCTGGCTGGGCTTAGTGTTTTAGCCTGGAGAATGGGTCAGCATGACCTCCCATATAAGAAAATCTCTCCCTCCTTTCCCTTTCCCTCAGCCACCCACCCACCTGCAGCAGAGGGCGCCACTGTTCCTAGTTTTTTGTGTGTCCTCCCGTCATTCAACCAACAATATTTGAGGGGGGTGAGGGGGGGAAGGAATTATTTTTTGAGCTCTTACCATGTGTCAGGCACTATTTATAGACCCAGGGGTTAGAGAAGTGAACAAATAGACAAAAATCGCAGTCCTGATAGAACGGACATTCTAGAACAGGGGTAGGCAAACGTGTTGACTCGAGGGCCACAATGGGTTCTTAAACTGGACCGGAGGGCCGGAACAAAAGCATGGATGGAGTGTTTGTGTGAACTAATATCAATTCAAAGTAAACATCATTACATAAGGGTACGGGCTTTTTTTTTTTTTTTTTAGTTTTATTCATTTCAAACGGGCCAGATCTGGCCCGCGGGCCGTAGTTTGCCCACGGCTGTTCTAGAAGCTGGTGTAAAAAGGCTTCTTATAGATGTATTTAATGTGTGGATATAAGTATGTATGAATTTTGCCCTACCGAAACCCAAATGTAGTCTTCTACTCTTTTGTACCTTGGTTTGGGGGTTGGCTGGTTTTTTCCAGTGACCCTGGAAATGGTTCTATAAGTGCATGACACCCTTGCTCATTCTCTTCTCCTGTCCCTGCATTTATTTCCACGTCCCCAGTTAATGGGTGTTGAGGTTGTTTCCAATAATTGGCAGTTGAGCCAGTGATGCGATGAACAGCATTCCATGTCTCAAATCTGTGGGATAACATGCCAAACGCGGAAGGGCTGAGTCAAAAGCCTCTTTCTTTCAAAAACTTTTTTTTTCAAGTCATTACAAAAAGGCCTCATGCTTATATCATCAGACAATAGAGACCTGTGTAAAATGAAAGGGAAAGCCGGCCCCCTCCCCCCATCTCCACCAGTCAAGCTTGCTCTGCAGCAATAACAGCGCTTAGTGGATCCTTTCACTTTTTCTTTCGCTTTTTCTACCACGCAGGCAGGCACCACCGCGTCCTTCCACGTTTTTCCGCGCCTTTTCCTATAAGTTCACCTGCAACCCTCCACATTTACACTAATGCTTTTCTTCTTTCTCTCTTTTATTCTCCCGCGTGTGGGGTTACACTAGAAGCATTGGTGTGCCTGGGGCGTTCCTGGCCAAGTCCTGGGCATCCTTCCATCCTGTGCAGGTGATTCTGCCTCCTCCTCTTCGTGGCTCCCGGACATTTCCAGGAACGGCAGACAGAACAGACTCAGCCAGCCTTGGCTGCTGGGCACTGGGGCTATTTGGACGGTCCTTCCTGAGCGGGGACTGCCGGGCCAAAGGCCAGCAGATTGGGATTTGATCGGGGCTACTGGTCCCTGGCATGTTCCTCCCAGCCCCATCTCTCCCTCTGCTGGACCCAGCTCTCTCTCACAGGACTGAGTCTCTCTCTCCTCCATTTCTCACTCTGGGCCACGGGCTTCTGAGCTTTGCAACTCTGGCTGGACGCTCTGCCTCTCTGAGCCTCGGCGCGGGTTTGTCCTGCTGAGTCACCCGGGGACCCAGGGGAAAGCGTCCAAGTGTGGCTGCCCTGGGGAAGGCGGGCTCACCCCTGTGCGCCCCGCCCCGCCCCGCCCCGCAGCGCGCTGGAGACCCGGCTGCGAGCCCTGGAGACACAGCAGCAAGCGCAGCTGGCCAGCCTCCGCCAGGAGAAGGAGCGGCTGGGGAGCCTGCTGAGCCGCCAGAACGGCGCCCTCGCCGGCCTCGCGCGCAGCCTGCGCGCTGCCAGAAGCAACTCCAGCCTCCTGCAGAGGCAGCAGGACCGACTGCTGGAGTCCATGAAGCGCCTGCTGCGCACGGTGGCCCAGGGCCCGCCTGG